GCTCTTTCGGGTCAGCACTGGCTTTTCACTACCAAGTGTTCACCACACTCTGGTTCTTTCGCAGAAAATAATACAGACGATAAGAATCTTATCGTCTGTATTTGTTTTTCATATATCGTTTCCTTTGAAAAGATAAACCTGATCAAACGTGACCATTGGTCCAAACAAAATTATTGAAAAATTCTTGACTCCACGTTTCAGCATGTTCACAAGTGATTGCAACTCATTTGAACTGGCCTATCCCTTACGGGTTCCTTGAACCCAAAAAGGATTCCCCAGTCCAAGCATTGCCATGCTTCAAAAATGAGTCACGACTTCGATTCAAATCAGCAACAAACTGGTTTGTGATCCGCCTGCAAACGTTTGCAACCCTTCACAAAATACACTCAAGCAAACTCCTGCACTGACATGTTTCCAGTGTCAAGTCATGCTTTTACATGTGTACATGTACATGTTTTTGAAAAACAAAATCACACATCCGACCATGGAGCTCATGAATTTTTTCATCATCTCTCCGGCCTTAACGTGACGAGTCTTTCAGCCTGAAACATTGCCTGCATTTTGCAGAGTCAAAACGGACCTGGCTTTCGTTCCTATGGAAGTTTGCACTAATCCTCCTGCCGCACAACAATATGTGGACACACTCATCGTGAGACAAATGAAACATCTTTGTGTTTGAATTCAACCAAAGTTTCTTGTCAGCTGGGATTTCAACTGCATAGTGGCCAATGACCGGGGCCCAGGCTGCTATTTCCTCCCCTGACGAATCACTTGAATCCGTAGTCAGGTGACCTTCTCCCTCTTGAGAGGCCTCCGGTCCCTGCACATCAATCCCTGTGCCTGCATCAACTGTCTCACTTGCAGTAGCAGGCTCAGCAGCATCGGTGGCAACTGTCGCCCCATCAAGGTGTGAAGCGTTGACAACAGGCACAACTCCTACCATGTCAACATGATCCAACGAAGCTGCACCAGGTTTCAGACGGCCACTCCTCGTGCAATCTGGCTCGAACTGGCCATCCCTGATCTCCTTAAGCACATGTGACAAGATGGCCAACGGACGTGCAGCACTGTCTCTACTGTATGTCATGGTCATTCGAAGTTTGTTTGCATGGTACCCAAGCACCAACCTGTCATCATGTCCAACTCCTCGTTTGGCTTAATAACTCAAACAAGTGCACTTGCAAGAATGACTGGTGATCCTGGCACCCGCCCTCATCAAATTTGCACCCAACAAGTAATGCATCCACTTCTTGGCTTCCAAGGTCGAGACTGGTCTGGCCGTGGGCTCCAAGCTGCTGTCAGGTGCTGGTAACAACGGAAATTTCTTCAGATTGGAGATACCTAATTGGCGTCTGACATCAATCCATTGTGACCCCCAACAGTCATCAGTCACTCCATGAGCTGGGGCTGCAACTGGTAGGAACATGTGTCGCAGATGGTGTGCACGAGCCGTTTTATGCACAGAGGTGCGCACTTCAATGAATTGTAAAATACCATTGGTATCCTCATCACAAATTAGCTCCTCAGCATGCTGTGCATCCGACCACCTTGATCTGCCATAAACGCAGAAAAGGACCATTCCACTCATTGCACGGTCCCACAACTCATCGCCTTCCCTCAGGCAGTCATGAAACCTTTTCAGCTGTTCCACTGTGAAAGGGTCAGCTTGCCGTGGACATGCAAGAGCTTTTGAACTTGCAGCTCCTAAACAACGCCTGCTGTCAATCACTTTCTGTAGATCTGACACCCCCAACACGTAGCGGCAGAAAACTAAGGCTTCAAAATAAGCCTTCAACCTTGATGATGGCGCCTTTGCATCAACCTCGCACCGTAGAAGATCATAAAACTGGTCCTCAGAGCAAGGAAAAGTGACATCACGCTGTTGCAAGAAACCACATAGTTTTGCCAAGCTGTTGCATCTCTTCAGAATTGTCTGTGGAGCCTTGTTGTAAAACACATCCACCAAAATCTGAGCCTTGTCCTGAAATTGAACCTTGTTTTGTATCGCAGCTGCCAGTGGAATATTGTCAGCATTCCAGGTTTCCATCAATGCGATCCAACGCCTGATAGCCACTTCCCACTGGGCCTCACGTTCCTCCCTCCAGGTGCGTTCAGGTACATCTTTGATGTACTGTAAAAAGTTTTTGACTTCAGCAGTTTGGTTTGATGCTACTCTACGTTCCACATCGGTTGCACCACTGCTAGATGAAGCTGTAACATCAGGCACAGGCATAGGACGCTTGATACCTCTTGTCATCATGTCCAAAGCTGAAACGTTGGGGTCCAAAAACCTAGACCAAAAATCCTTTTCCCAGTGCAATTCCAACTCAGTGTTGGGCAGTGACTTCCAAGCTGATTGTACAACTCTGTCAGCATCATACTCTGCAGCTAAAGGCTCACACCCATCAGTTGTAAACGCAGGCGAAAACCCTGAGAAATCAGATCTGATCGAAGGTTCATAGAAACTAGCGTCAGGTTCAGAAACATGTGCAAAACCGAAATCAGTGACATGTGTCCAGGAATCACGGTCATGTTCAGTCTCCTGCAGATCCATGGCGCTAAGAACTACCAAGAACCCCCATGCTACAACCTGCATTCAAAAATGCCAGCTTCTCCCTCCACACCCTCCCTGTCTTGAGGCGAGCACGGTCGAAGGTATTATCACATGTTAAATGAAAACATGTGACGACAATGACGGTCCATTTTGTTTCACAAAAAACCCATTGTCTTGATTACAGAAATTCTAGGTTAAAATTCCTGAATACCACAAAACCAGTTTCTTTCGAATTAAAGAAACAGATTTAAAACGTCCAGCCAAAAACTGATCGTTTTGGTTCAGGGTTTCTTCATTCACTGTTTGAGGAGTGAAGAAGTCAACATTCACGTCAGGGAAAAAATATTCAAATAAAGGGAGCATCATTGCTTTGCAATGAGTGAACCCGTCGGCGCCGGACGCCCTGATGTGGCGCCATGTCTTTTTGATGCCTGTGGTGGTGAGAACGTCAAAGGAAAGAATGTTTTGAAATCCCTGCATGGTATAATTTCGTTTAACAGTTTCGCTAGCTAGCAGTGACTCAATGACCGCCACTCGTCTCGTGTGGTGATGGCTTCTGCGGCTGTTCGGGGATGAAGTTCCCTGACGTGGTTTACAAGCAAGATTAATAGATGTTTTCGAGCGCTCGTGCTTAAGAATTGCTGCAAGCCCATCCGCCGAGCTGAGGGGAACTTGCCTCTTGAGAACCGCGATGCTGTCTGTGTTATTCTCATAACTTGGAAGGTGTTGGTCAAACAGGGGCCAGAGCGTTGTTTGGTTTTGATACATCGACAGTATCGTAGGGGGTCTTCCGCACAAGGCCAAGGCTCACGCACAGTTGGCTTGAACGCGACGTGACCGGCGCAAGAAACCTCAAAAAGGGATCCAGCTCCATCACTCGTGCAGGTGGCCGTATGCCACCATCTTTCTTCTTGCTGCTGCTTTGTTTGAGCGGATTGCTTGCGACTTTGCACCGAATTTTTAAGGTGCAGAGCGGACACATTGACCATGATGACATGGAAATTCAAAATGAGCGAGATGACCAAGCAAGGTTGGCGATGACTGTCGCTGAAGCTAGTTTGCTACAGGAACATTTTGAATCCTGCCCTGCGGGGCCCTGATTGCACAATGCCACTGAAAGCTAGCTGATAATCCTGGCGACCGCGCAGTCCACGCATTCCGTGTACACACACACCACACACACACACATATATATATATATACATATATATATATACTGTTTTATTTATGGATTTATTGATTTATTTATTCATGTATTTATTTACCTGAAATGTATTTATAGCTATATTTAGATATGTATGTTCAGACAAAAAGTGTGGACATTTGTTTGGTTTCAAGTTGTTTGCCACCTAGCCAAATGTGACCAAGATTCAACCAGCATGACTTTCAAGAACTGTTTGTCAATTGGCTACTTGCATGTCCTTTTCCCTTTCGCTGGCATTGAGTCTAGCCCACCGAGAAACTGGAGAAAGAGGGAAAGATTGTGGAGGGCAGCTTGCGCAATGCAAAGAAGCATGCTCGCTTCAAAAAGTATGAGCCATACACCGCTGTGAGAGGTCTGCTGGGAGCTGTACAGCATGGAGCCGGAGTCGACCTGGCTGACCACTTTCCGCGGCCAACCTCCCCGGATGTACCCCGCAAGTTATCTGATTTGGAGGACAAAGGAGCTTTGGTTCTTCTTTCTGATCAAGAGAAGGCGCAGTTGCTTGACAGTGCTGAATTGTGGCTGTTCATCAATAGGTTTTTGCCTGCCAGCATCTGGTGAGTCTATGTCTCATGTGCTAGCTCAGAAATTGAACGGGAACAGAGCAAGGGGATTCTACGCTTTGAAGCCTGCAGTTTCCTAGCTGTAGAGGTAATCAGACATGTGGACACTCTTTGCGCAAATTCAAGATTTGCTTGGCACCAAGCTGAAAAGCATGACTCGGTGCTGAGGACCGCGTGGATCCATACTTTGCTGTACAGTCTGGGCATGCGAGCGGTTTTCAAGAGCGATGTTGTTCATCGGATTTCCAATGACTCCAACCTGCCCACAAACCACCTTGGCCTGCAAGGCCCGCATATGGCCCCAGGGGTGTTTGGTATGTTAGAGCTCTGTTGCTTTACGGTTAGAGTTGTTTGAGGTTCAAGGTCTTCAACGTCAATCTATATGCAGATATCAGATATCTCTTGAGACTGGCCTCTGTATGAGCTCCATTCACACCCAGTCCGGCATGTCTTTGAATATATGTCGCATGTCTCCGGTCTCCGCATCTTTTGTCAGGCGTTCTGGCTTGCACGAGGCTTGCAATGTCAGTGCGAAAGAAACCTTTCAAGACGGGTGAATTTGGCGCAGAATTGGCAGCGCATGCGCTCCATTGGTTGCAGCTCCATTCCCCCGACTCTGAAGAGTTTCAAGCTTGCATTTTGATAAGAATCCCACAATGGTAAACCTTTGCTCGGTAACATGGAGTGCTATATGAGGTTTGCCGGCAACGCGGATGATATGAAGGCGGACCTGCTGCAACCGCACTTAACGAACGAGGAGCTCCACCAGCTTCTGCTTGAGAGCATCGGGCACTGGAATGTTCAAGAGGCGAAGTATCGCCCGAACAAAGCACATTCATCGGGTGTCTTTCTCATGTTTGGTGGACGTTACTTTCGGATGGGTGAAAGTGTTTGAAGCACCAATTGATTGTGGCTCCTTGAAAGGTGAAGCTCAGCCGTTTCTTCGAATGGTCAGGTCGTTGGAAAGGGTTTGCTAGGTTTTGGACGTTCCTACGACTGATCCACACATCCTTGCAAGCGTTGAAGGCTTCATCGGTGGATGTCGAAGATGGCGACCAAGACCTGCAAGACCCTCCAGAAGAGGCTGCTGGTGGTGGACTTAGCGGCCCTAAGGACCTTCTGCAGAAGCTCAGGGCTATGCAGCAAAAGAAGCCAGTGATGGACGTTGTCTGCAGCGTTTTGCAAGATGACCAAATCCGAAAGCTTGGCTGGTTGAGCCTTGTCTGCGCAGCTGTGACAAGAATAATATTTTCACAGACAGAGATATAGCTTTAAATGGCTGAGGCAAATCACATTGTATTGCAACCTTGCCTCCCCGAAGTTGCTAGCAGCAAAGGGCACAGCGGATTTGAAATACATCAGTATAGAGCAGTCTGTCGCATTCTTTCATTGCGCAGCCAGGGTCTTCGGTTAGACATGTTTGCAATTTGAAGACATGTTATGTTTGATATGGCCCATATGGCTAATCAATTCCCTATAACAGAATTTCAGCTTTGGTGAGCTCTCCTTGTTGCCGATTCCTTCAGGATCTGGTCGTCGCGAATTGTATTGCAGCGATCTTACCAAACACTGCTTGAGCAGCTCTCCTCGAATGAGAATGCGGCACGAGACCTCCAGATTAACTGGGCCAACAGGCACTGGGCTGCTGAGATCGGCAACATTTTCCTTATGCTGGGCAACGAAGAAATCCTCCATCGCTTGGGGTTGCTTGCTGGTGCAGATGATGTTGCTGAGACCAACCGCATGGCCAAAATGCTGGGTGAGATCCTTGTCAGGACAGCCAGCCAGCGTTGCTGGACAATGGCTAGCTGGTCTGAACTACCTCCTTTGAACTGGTCCTCAGTCTTGTCCCAAGACCCTGAGGAGGCAAGAGCCGGCTTGGATCGGATTCGTGGAGACCAAGAATCGGTTGAAGCAGCATGGTCCTACCTGAATTCTGCAGATTTTCATGAAGAATCTCAGGCAGGAAATCGAATATCAGTCGAAAGGACTTGCGTCGCAACATCATATATATAGTGAGCGGTTGGCTTAAGATTTGTTTCCTTGCTTCCTCAGGGCTCACGACTTCGACCATGATTTCATCCAGTAATTTTTCACTAATAGGGTTTGCTTAGCCTTTGTCCGTTTTGTTTTGCTGAATTGGCAATGTTTCTAACTCGCTCCGCTCCTTTTCAGCTTCCTATTCATCTCTCCTGCCTGCGGCTGTCATAACTTCTTTGTTTGGGCTGTTCGTGGCATGTTGGTTTGTCAGTGTGTGTGTGTGTTATGTTTGCACTGTTTCTTGCTTCTGAGTCGGCAGATGGTTTGCTGTAGGATTTGCCTCTTGGGCTCGCCTTTCCCTAAGCATTCTTGTTGCCTTCTTCAGGCCCAAAAAACATGAGAATCGCTTGCCCGCAGACCAAGCTTTGTGGATTAGAAACAAGGAGTACGCAAAAGCGTAACAGAATAAGCTCACAGCAAATTTGAATCTACCCGTTGCAGGGCTTAAAGTTTGCCTTCGACAACTTGTGGGTCCACCGCTTGACGTTGGTGCAAGAATCTGGGCGTGTTGTGAGTCAAGTGTTTGTTTTCATTGAACATGGGCAACGCTATGCTCCAAAACCTACTTTGCACATGGGACCGATGATGCTTGTTGCCAGGGTCGTCTCAGAATGTCTGCAGGAAACATGGCAACATTGCCGGCATTTTGGATGGCATCCAGACTCCTATTACAACCACTTTTGGAGACTAGCATCAACTTTGATCAGTACAAAGGACCTACTCGAGGACGTGTTTGCAGACATTGCAGACCATGAAGAGCGAGACAAGAAATCATCCACTCCCATGATGCCCGAGACAGTTTTCTTCTATAACACCATGTCAGAACGGCTTGGCAACGTCCCTTTTCTGCAGATTCAGGCCGGCGACTTCACTTCCGCGGCTGCTCGCAAGTTTTCAGCTGGCCGGGGTGAGACGTTCGGAGAAAAGTTCAAGATCAAGAACGCCGTTACTGAGAAAATGAAGGAGTGTTGCAAGCATCGTTTCTTGCCAGCCTTGTCAACCTTTAAATTGCTTTTGTTGCCCCCCAAGAAGGATTTTTCTTGTACAAGGTAGTTCCCTGGCTTGCTGGGCCTGGAAACTTGTTAGATATGTCCGGGCGGTATCTTCCCTAGGTGATTCGAGCAGCGCTGTGAAGCCAAGTGGCCAAGCAGCTGACTTTCGCTCAATTGGCGCTATGCTTGCCCTTCGTGAGCTCGGCCCATCTCGTTTCCATGGGATTGGGGGGTGTTGGGTTGGATGCCTACTACAAGAAGGCATGGTCTACCGGCACCTGTCCAGCAAGAAGGTTTACCTTTCCCTGGGGTTTCAGCATCAAGCCCTATTCGGATGGGAGCTTGAAGAGCTGGAGGACCGAAGCTTGTGCAAACTCCGTGTCCTGTTTGTGTTAATACTTGAGCCGCTAAAATTGGAAACAAGGTTGATTTTGGTGTGATTGATTTTGGCCAAAGATAGGATGAGACCAATGGGACTTTCTTCTTCCTTGCCGAGTCACGCATGACCGTGCAACAGTTTATCGGCAAGTTGGAGCCAATAGTTGCGCATGAGCTTGGGCAGGGGAAAGAAGCTTTTGCAGGCGTTCCATGTGTCTGGAGTGTCTCTCCCTTGCCTAGGCAAACCTTTGCTGAAAACCTCGCCTTTCACCATCTTTCTGCCAACCATGTTTGGTTTTATTGGTGCAGTCGCGTATTGAACTTTGACCAGCCAAGGTCCTCCATGCACCAGGACCTGCCGTGAGCAGGATGGGGTGGTGCTGCGAAAGGATGGGGACGAGTCTCTTTTGCTCCCTTTCTGGTTGCGCTATGGGGTGTTGAATCCCACCATCAAGGCGCACTTGCCAAAGCTCATCTTTGCTTCTGGTGCGCCACTCTTGAAATACAATGAGAAGACCGTGGGCGTCAAAAGCAGGTTGAATCTTTACCAACAATGGTCTTTTTTTCCCCACAAAATTGTGTGGAGTTCTTGTTTTTAGATCTGTACCTTCCGCCTCCGCTTCCCGCCTCCGCGTCCTCACACACACAACTGCTTCACACACAACTTTGTTACCCACACATCATCTTTGTCACACCATCCACACACCATCACTTGGCGACATCCACCGTCGTTTCACGTGGCAGGCGTGGCACTTGGCGACATCCACCTTCGTTTTGCGTGGCAGGCGTGGTACTTATGACACTTGGCTGGGTCTGGTGACGCGCTTGGTCCCCGTTGGTCGCCCGTGACGCCATCCCACTTTGCGTGGCAGGCATGACACTTGGCGACACCCACCTCCGTTTTGCGTGGCTGGAGTGGCGCTTGGCGACATCCACCTTCGTTTTGCGTGGCAGGGGTGGTACTTGTGACGCTTGGCTGGGTCTGGTGACGCGCTGGTCGCCCGTGACGCCGCTTCACTTTGCGTGGCAGGCATGGCACTTTGTGACATCCACCGTTGTTTCACGTGGCAAGCGTGGCACTTGGCGACATCCACCTTCGTTTTGCATGGCAGGCGTGGTACTTATGACACTTGGCTGGGTCTGGTGTCGCGCTTGGTCCCCGTTAGTCGCCCGTGACGCCGTGCCACTTTGCGTGGCAGGCGTGGCACTTGGTGACATCCACGGTCGCTTTGCGTGGCAGGGGTGGCGCTTGGCGACATCCACCTTCGTTTTGCGTGGCAGGCGTGGTACTTATGACACTTGGCTGGGTCTGGTGACGCGCTTGGTCCCCGTTGGTCGCCCGTGACGCCGTGCCACTTTGCGTGGCAGGCATGACACTTGGCGACACCCACCTCCGTTTTGCGTGGCTGGCGTGCCGCTTGGCGACCTCCACCTTCATTTTGCGTGGCAGGCGTGGTACATATGACACTTGGCTGGGTCTGGTGACGCGCTTGGTCCCCGTTGGTCGCCCGTGACGCCGCTCTACTTTGCATGGTAGGCGTGGCACTTGGCGACATCCACCGTCGTTTCATGTGGCAGGCGTGACACTTGGCGACATCCACCTTCGTTTTGCATGGCAGGCGTGGTACTTATGACACTTGGCTGGGTCTGGTGTCGCGCTTGGTCCCCGTTGGTCGCCCGTGACGCCGTGCCACTTTGCGTGGCAGGCATGACACTTGGTGACACCCACCTCCGTTTTGCGTGGCTGGCGTGGCGCTTGGCGACATCCACCGTCACTTTGCGTGGCCATCTTTCACACACAACTTTATCACACACACACACAACTTTGTCACACACACACACATCTTTGTCACACACAAATTTGCCACACACCATCTTTCACACACCTCTTTGTCACACACCATCTTTCACACACACCGTTTTCACACACCATCTTTGTCACACACCTTCTTTCACACACCACTTTGTCACACACCTTCTTTCACACACCACTTTGTCACACGAAACTTTGTCACACACCGTCTTTCACACACACCTTCTTTCGCACACATCTTTGTCACACACCTCTTTGTCACACACCTTCTTTCACACACCACTTTGTCACACACCTTCTTTCACACACCGCTTTGTCACACACCTTCTTTCACACACCACTTTGTCACACACCATCTGGCACACACAACTTTGTCACACCATCTTTCACACACACACACAACTTTGTCATACACAACTGTTCACATACAACTTTTCGATCGATCCTCCACCACCTCCTTTGTCTATCCTTCCTTCCTCGTCCCACTTGAACTTTTTGTGTCTGCTTACTGGAAGAAGTTGACTTGTGGGGTTATTCGGCCCTTTAATTTTGAAGGCTTTCTCCACACTTCGGCCCCGTGGACCGTTACCTTAGCTAAGGATGTCCTTGATCAAACACAGCTTCCCGGATATGGATGAGGTGCGTCAAGCGGAGGTTCTGGATCGTTTGTTGCAGTCAGACGCCACAATCAAATCCAAACTCATCCGGCCAGACTCTCTCAAAGACGTGCTGGTAGAAATGGATGGGACCACCGACGGAAAATTGTTCACTGACATGAAAGATATGCTAGACCAAGAAGATCGAGAAACATTTATCTTGACGCGCTTTGCAGCCCCACGGGCTGCCGCAGAAGCTGCTACTCCATGGTACATAAAGAACTTGAGGCCTCCCATGACCAAGTGCTACCTGACCTGGCAGGTTGCCACAAAGTCTTTCCAAGGCTACTACCCCAAAACTTTGGATGAGAGCCAGCGAAAGAATCCCAAAGTCAAGACACATTGGTCAACATCTCGGACATTTGGAGAGAAATGGACTACTGAGCAGGCACTCACGCAAGTCGTTCGTTTCCTGTGGAGAAAGCACAAGAAAGGTGGCCACGCTGCCCGTCATTGCCTGGGAACATTTTGACTTTGCTTCTTCGTAAACACCATTTTGAACATGTCTTCTTGATAAGATGAAGAATTGACCAGAACCTTACAAGGGACACTGACCTGCGATGTTTCAATGTTTTTCTCACATGTTGCACCTTTTCTTCTCTTCGCTGCTACGGCTTAGGAATGCTCTTTGGAACCCAACAAGCAGAAAATTTCGGATGGTTTGGAAAAGGCATCCATGGTGCTGGAGGGGACGATCGAGGATTGCCAGCCAGATGTTTTGGAGGACGCGCCTGATGACAAGACTACTGATGAGGTCATGTCAAAGAATGCAGAGGAGGTGCCGGAACGGGAAACATCGAATGAAGGAAATGATGGCCAAGTCCAAGCCATGTCTTCCAGCTCAATTTCTGAGTCTGATTCTTCGGGCGATGGTGACCCTGACGGTGCAGCTGCCTCTTCTTCCAAAGCCAAAGGGAAAAGTCAGAAGTCAAAAGCAGAGTCCAAGAAGGGCGCTGCAGCAAAAGGAAAGGCTAAGGCCAAGAACAGAAAGAAACAAACTCCAAAAAATGAGCCTGCACCCAAGACAGGCGGAACCAAACGAAAATTGCAGGAATTAGATACCAGCAGCGTTGTGATCCCCAATCACATGAAGGTGAAGGCTGCCTTTGGGGATATCAAGCGAAAGCCAAAGTGAGTTTCAAGTTTCACGTGGAAAAAAAATTGTCAGCTGCATTGCCAGTCGGGCATTCAATACAAAGCATTTCAAATTTAAGGCCTAATTAGCCCCAAGGCCTAATTAGCCCCATTTAAGCTTAATTTAGCCGACCCTCTAGAGGTACCATGGCAGAGGTACCAGATTTTGCGTTTTGAAACCATACACGAAAGGAGCGCAACACAGACAGAGAAGCACCAACAAATGCACAGACAGAAGCACTAGACCGACACCAAGAGCCCATTGTTTTCCCCGTCCAGGTCGTTCAACATGTTTCAAAACCGACACCAAGAGCCCAGAAAGCCAAAGCCCGAAAGGGATCGAAAAGTCAAACTAAGGACAAAAGACGGCAGAGAGAGCATGACCCAAGTCAAATCGCACAAGAAAAGCAGACTTGCAAATAAGAGGGACCACGAGAGATAACCCCACAATAGAAGACGCTCGGGCTTGCAGAAAATCTTGCGCAGTATATCTGCTCGCTGACTCGACGAGCGGAGTTCTTGGCAACTCCAGAGACTGAATGCCTTCTGTACGTATTGGTTTCGTCCAATTCTCTCTGAGCTTATCGGAGCAGCCACGGAGAGTGCAGACGTGAACCGAGAACGTGCTCCCAGGTATGGATCTTGTCAGCGGGGTCTCGGCCCTCCTGGCGTGGTTTCCTGCAAGCTGGACTAGTTGCACCGTGCTTAATAGAGGAAAAAGGTGGCTCTGTACAACTGCTGCAAGAAGTTGCCATTGTCTGTCCTCATCGAGAGTTCGATTTTTTTGTGGTCGGAGCCCGTTGCCTTTCGGCGGGTCGCAATGTCTCATCGAGAGTTCGAAGGACTGCAAAGGGATGCTGTTGACCAAGTGCTGCAGGCAGTCAAGTTCACGGACAAAAATGCCCCTGGATAGGACTTAGCGCTGGATGAGAAGTTCCAAACAGCTAATTGTTTTACAGAACTCATTCGTGGGTCATAATGGGCGCAGTTGAACCACACCATGATGGGTCTGCAACCTACTGGACCCACGAGAGTAACTTGGAAGTCCCTAACAGGACTGATTCCAGAAAAGTGGAAACAGACAGCAACTCTGTGCCCATTAGATTGGACGTCGAATTATAGCCTTCTCAGATTGTGGCACACGACCAAAAGCTTCCACCAGTATGCTGCACAACTCAAGCAGCTTGGGGTGTGGTGGTGCTCTGTCGTCCTCACTTCATTTTGTCTTATGGCAGCAAAGGCCTTTGGCCCTGTGTGGGGTTTGTTTTACCCTCTACACCATGGTGCATGTGTTGTTGGGGTACTCTGTACTCCGACGCTGAGGAATTCATCTCCTGATGATCTAGATCCCCTATGGGATACCGCCCGCTCTCTCTCTGCTCCTGTTGTGGTCGTGTCTTGGTTCTTTGGTTGTTGGTGTCTTCCTTCTTTATGCACTCTCCCCTGCCTTCACTTCGGCGTGAGACGTCTGGATTGTTGCAAGAGAGTTTTTTGTTTAGTTTGGTGTGCCTTCGTTGTTTGTGGATGTTGGTTGAGTGGCAAGGAAAAAGCAGTGCTCACTAAGGTGACTAAGGACTGGAATCTTTTGGCGTCCCCGAGGGCCCCTATTTTGTCCCTCGTATTTAGCTTTGCCCTCCTCCGGAGGTGGTTTGTACCTGAATTCGTTTGTCTCGTCTGTCCTTTGTCCGGTGGCTTTACCGGGTCGGTCTTGTCTATCTGAGAGGGGCGGTGGGTAGCCGGCCAAAGCCATGAACCACATTGCGCTGCAGTGAGTCTCTGGAGCTCCAGTGGTGCTCCCTGTAGGACAGCCTGGAGCGCCCGCGCAGCACAAGTCTGCCTGTATGGTTCGTTCGTTGGTGGACGAGAATCGGTGACTCTGCAGCCTGCCTATGGATGCACTACTAACGTCTACGTACAGTTCCAGTAAGCCACTCGAGGTAGCGTAGAGTACCCAAATTTCCCATCCATACATTCAGCCTGCAACTTGACCTAGGTTGAGCGGCGTTGTCACCATAGATACTCATAGTTGACTACTGCCCGCTGCGACTACCTTTGCTGGCAGCATGCCGGAGCCAGTATGGGACGGGGTCCGTAGCCTTTGGCTCAAGCCTTTGGCTCAAGTTTTCGGTTCAAGTTACCAGTAGCTGAGCACACCTGTTGCAGAGGAGAGTACTGGTAACTGCGTAGTTAGCCCAGGGGTAAGGGACTTGTTGTGTAGTTTGTTGCTGGGGCGACTTACTGTGCTCGATTCCTCCTGTGCTGTCGGAACCCCCCCCTTTTAAGGTTAGATTGTGTTTAAGTCTGGTTGCTCTCTTTTGGTTTTCACCTGGCCCTTAGATATAGAGCAACTGGTTGAGAAAGTGTGCGAACCTTAGTTTCTGTTTTTTGCTTGCTCAAATCTCTGTGATTGGCATCGAGCTTCAGATCTTAAGGTTTGGTTTTCTTTGTTGCCTGGGTGTCTGTCCAAGGACGTGACAGGCACCTTGCGCAACCTACACTCACCCCTTTTGGACAATTTGTTTTCACACAGGGTGTCTGTCCTAAGACGTGACAGGCTCACTATTTTCATTTTTCCTCTTGAATTTTTGCACTCACACAGTGTGTCTGTCCAAAGACGTGACAGGTCACTGTACTTTTACTACTTTGCTCTACCAAGTTCCCCCTTTCTACCTGTTTTGACGCTCACACAGTGTATCTGTCCAAAGACGTGACAGGTCACTGTTTTTTCCACTGCACTGCTTTACCAAGGTCCTCTTTTGATCTGATTGCTTTCTTTTCTCTCTTTTTACCTGTTTGAGTTCACACAGTGTATCTGTCCAAAGACGTGACAGGTCACTGTCCTTCTACTCCACCGCTTTACCAAGGTCCCTCTTCTAACCTGAATTTTTTGGTTTGTTTCCTCTCGTCTTCTCTGCTTCTCTTCTGGACTACTCTCTATTTCACACAGTGTGTCTGTCCAAAGACGTGACAGGTCGCTGTTCTCTCCACCGCTGCCTCTGATTACACAGTGTATCTGTCCAAAGACGTGACAGGTGCTCTGTTGCCTCTACCCACCCCTTTTCTGTTTTGCATTTCGAGACACCTCGTCCCCCACCTTTTTAGTTGATTTGTTTAATCGGATCTCGTTTCTTCCATTTCGAACCATTTCGAACCTATTGAAGTGACTCCATTCTTTACACTCTCTTATCTTGTTTCGTTTCTCTCTCCCTGCTCTACGGGTTTATCTGTCCAAAGACGCGACAGGTACTCCCCCCTCCCCTATCTTATCTCGAGTTACTTGTCATACCACTCACACACCTCTCACATACAACCTTTCTCTTGGTGAGAAGACAAAGCCAGAATGGCTGAACACATCGAGGCTCAACAGGCTGCTGCGGAATATCTCGGTGCACTTGGATTGCATGCCACTCTCATGGTACATTTTCCGAGTAAGATCAAAGCACCTGAAGGCATACTTCTGACCACCTATGATCAGCTGCATTCACAGATAGCGAAGCAAGAGACTACTGCTTATGCGTTTCCCTCTTTTGGAGCGGCTCAAAGTGCTATGAAAACACTGGCAACGATGCAACAGACTGTTATACTTATCTATGAGTGTCATGCCAACACTGGCCCAGTCGAAATAGCAGCAAAAGTTTTTGACACTTGCCAGAGACACATTGCAGCCATTCGAGAAATAAAGCAGCTCACTGGAACCCTCAAATATCAAAAATATCCTACTGTACTATATCTTGTCAAAATGGATAGCCTGTCAAGCAGTCCAGCCGTAATTGAATGGCAAATCCCTGACACGATAACTGATGAGCTGATAATGCCTGCCCGTATCGCCTTTGAAAATTTTGTTGGCAAAGAACTACGACAAGGGCAGTATCCAGGAGTCAGCGAGACTAGCACATCACCAAATGGCTGCTATAATTCTGACAAGTCAAAAGGAAGCGTGCCGCTTACCATCAAATATGAAAAGAACTCTTGCTTACAAAGAACCAAAATCCGTGAAGCAATCGAATCGTTACAGAAAGAAATTAACACAGCACAAGACACCCAGTTTCAGATTAAAGAAGGCATTGACTGGACTCGTTTACATAAACTGCGGGAGGCTGCTACTTTCACTGTCATGTCCACTCGGCACTTAAGTGATCAAGAACGAAATGCACTTGCGCTGGAGCTCATGTCCTTTAGAATTAAGTACTTCTTCCTATCTAAAGCTCAAGTAATGCTGAAACTAGAAGGCATGGAAATCGAAGTGCTCCGCAATTTATTGCATTGTTCAACAACGTACTTGCCCTTTGGGCAACGCCAGCAATCGACACAATTTGTCCTTAGTCAAGTGACTGCCATGGGCAGCAACTGGTACCGAATTGAAGTAAGGTATGCACCAATAGGCAGTATGCCCTTTATACCACTTCAAATTGCAAAAAGTAGCATCATCCCACTCCTGGAAAATGAAGTAGCAGTCATTGACTCAGAGCTCGGTTTTGCACTCATTAATGCGTTTTCAGCATCCAAATTTGAATTTCAAACAATCGTTAATGAAGACAATGCCAATGTCACGATGCTCACTTTTTGGATCCCTCATGAAGTTAAGCAGAACTTCCCATGTTCTTTCTCAGTCAAGGACAAAAGAGGAAACAATATTGTCTGCACGATAGAGCATTGTGGAAACATACTGCCACAAACTGGTGCACCGGGTGAACCACCCAGGCACGAGACCAAAGGAGAGCATTGGCGTAGAATTGGTGAAAAGTGTAATCCAAGCTTCAAAAACAGACTCACTGTCATTGCCCCTGTCAGCACCCAGAATGCTTCTCAGAAGCGACGATTCGGACTTCTGAAGGACTCAGCAGTTGACTTGCAGACTCAACAGGTATCATATACGTATTCTGAAGAGACCTACCCGTGGATTCTCTTCCTGGAATCTATTCCTGTAATAGATACACTGGACATCTTTTTGACTCATTTTAGTCATTTTGAAGCAGTGAACAGTGCAAAAGGAGAATTCTG